TGAAAAATTTGCCATATATAGGTTAAATACATAAATAAAGTGTGCAGGTATAAATAGAGAAAGATTTGTCCTTGGTTGTCTATAGTTATCTTATAGATATTCAAAAAAAAAAAACAATGCTTTCACGTCCTGTAAGTCGTTTATTAATTGCTAACGTAGCTCGTCGATCATTTACAAGTCAAGCACGTAATAATAGTCGACAACAATATCAATGGTCACGATCAAGATGGAATTTTTCTAGTGGAAAAAGTAGTAGATTAGCTGCTGTTACTGCTTTATCAGGTGGTATTGCTTTTGTTCTTCATGCATCAACTTCACCATCTGATAATAAATTATCAACACCATCAAAAGTTGATTATAATCAAGTACGAAAATCGATTTCTGCTTTACTTGATGATAACAATTATGATGATGGAAGTTATGGACCTTTATTTGTACGATTAGGTTGGCATGCTAGTGGAACTTATTCACATATTGATTCAACTGGAGGATCTAATGGAGGATGTATGAGATTTCAACCGGAAAGTGATTGGGATGCAAATAAAGGTTTGTTTTTTTTTTGTTTTTTTATTCGAATATTATATTTTCAACTATTTATTCATTTCAATTTTGTTCTTAACTTTAAACATAGACTTGAAAAGAAAAAAAAACGAATTTTTGTTTTTCTTGATAAATCTAATCTATGATGAAAATAAATTTTAATTTTAGGATTACATTTGGCACGAGAACGTTTAGAAAGTGTTTATCGTGCCCATCCAGGTTTAACATATGCTGATTTATATACATTAGCTGCTGTTGTAGCTATTGAAGAAATGGGTGGTCCAAAAATAAAATGGCGTCCAGGTCGAAATGATCATAAAGATGGTAAACAATCTCCACCTGATGGTCGATTACCAGATGCTGCTCAAGGTGCTCAACATATTCGAGATATATTTTATCGAATGGGTTTCAATGATCAAGAAATAGTTGCATTACTTGGTGCTCATTCAATGGGAAGATGTCATACAGATCGAAGTGGTTTTGATGGACCATGGACATTTGCACCAACAACATTTTCGAATGAATTTTTTCGTCTTTTATTAGAAGAGAAATGGCAATTACGCCGTTGGAAAGGACCAAAACAATATGAAGATGTTAGAACAAAATCAATAATGATGTTACCGGCTGATATGGCTTTAATTGAAGATCCAGAATTCCGAAAATATGTTTTACAATATGCTAAAGATGCAGACAAATTTGCTAAAGATTTTGCAACTGCTTTTGAAAAATTATTAGAATTAGGCGTAGATTTTAAAACTACTGATGGTAGTCGACAAGGAAAAAATACATCATTATGGTCAAGAATATTTGGTTGAACATTATTTATGCTATTTTTTTTGTTTTGTTTTATAATGACTTTCTATCAGTGTGATGATTTTTGTTTTTATGGTGAGAGATTTTCTAAAATTTTAATGAATTGTCATCTAAAAATAAAATTTCTATCTTATGATTTTAGTTAGAAAATAAAAGTTTAAAAAAAAAAATCTTTATATTAATTTTTCATGTCATCATTGTCGATTTCAAAATAAAATAAAAATAAAACAACCTTGAATAACTCAGCAGCACAAACATCTCGTTATCTGCGATTTTCACAGTTTAATTGAGAAGTTCAAGGTATGAATATCTATCGAAAAATTTCTTTTTTTTTTATTAACATTCTCAAGCTGTTTCAAAAAATGCCTCTGATAAATCATCTAGACGATCAACGAACCTTTTTTAGGTTTTTTTTTTTCTTCCTATCAATTTATTTATTTTCTAGTCCAAGATCAGATCAGATCAGATCACCGAAGCCAGATAAGCTGCAGTTTTATTTTGTTGTTCTATTCAATTATTGACACTGACGTGTCACAATACATGAAATTGACTCTTTTTAACTCAGCTTAGATGGAATTCATATGAATTTGAGTTGAGTGAAAAATAGTGGATTTTCTCAGTCCTCGTCCGTTAATTTCAATACTCAAATGGAAAAACAAAACAAAGCGAAAACTGCGACTTATTTTACTTTCTTCTATAGTTGACTCTGTAAATACAAGATAAATAAATTTATAGAAAACAAATCTAATATCAGTTCGTTAATCGGCAAGATAAATTTTTCTGAGGCGTTGTTAGAAATAATTTGAGATCGTCTTTAAAATTTTTAATTCTATCATTAATATATGTCCTTTAAAAATCGTTATTCAATATTGTTTGACTTGAATTCAACATTTGAAATTGACTTTAATATTTCATATTAAATAGAAAACAAAACAAAACATAAATTACTTTTTTCTATTTAATATATTAATATATGATTAAAAAAAAAAAGTCGTATTAAATGAAATTAATTAGAAAATAATGAACCATCGGTTAATATTCAAAAGAAAATAAATTTTTTCTTGAACATAATCTTTTGTTTTGTTATGAATTTCTAATATGTGACTACAGTTCAATTTTTCTTCATGAAATATTCGAAATTTTTCAAAACTAAAACTAAATTAACCGGAACTCAATGTGAAACACGTTTGTCTGAGCAGAGAAAATATTTGATTATCAATACTTGTTATTTTGAGATAGTTCTAATAAAAAAAGATTTTGAAAAATTTTAATTATATTATAAAATGATATCACAAAAGAGAAAAGCTTCTCGATTTATTTCAATTGATGAAAAATTTTCAAATAAACGTGTAAAAATATTTTTCTTAGAGATAAAAAAAACAAAAGGGTTAAATCTAATTCAATCGTCTCTGATAATGAAAAATAAAAATAATTTTTACTCTTTTTTTAAATTTAATAAAAATCAATAAATCTTATTCAAAATTATTCAATATCTCCGACATTTTCATATTCATATATTTATATATAATTGATATTTATTTGACAATAATAATGAAAAAATAACAAGAAAAACTTAATATTAAGTTACTTTTAAAAATAAATAATCTTTGAAATTAATATAACCATTCATATCATTATAATTTGAAATATATTTATTCAAAATTTTGTTTCAATATTCTATGTTAACAGTTTTCTATTTTCATTTTAGAAATTATTTTATTTTTATCAATATTAATCTTGATAATTATCTTTGTTATTAAATTATTGTAGAATAAATGAGTTGTTTACAAGTTATTAGACTCTTATTATAACTGATGATGAAAAATACTTGTAAATAGTGTTTTAAAATATGCTATAATATATTGTTATTTCAACATTTAATAAAGTCTTTTCTTTATATATAGAATTTATCGAAAACATAAAACTACAATTGATCATATGCAACTTATATAAAATTGATTGAAATTTTTAAAGTTTTATTTTTCTAAATATTTCTTCGGTTTTATAATAAAGGTAAATAAAAGTAAAACAAAAAACAGTTAGTGATTTGAACGAGATTTAAAAATCGAATTTGTTGAAGCATTATAAAAATCAACGTATATCAATGTTAATCTATTCGTAATGTCCAATTTGATCAATCACTTAATTCAATCGATTGAAGATTTTATTTTCATAAGTTGCTTGGACATTGTTGTAAGAAATATTTTCGATTCTTCTATTTGTTAAAAAGACTCTCCCACTCAAAAATCTAATTTCGACAGGGTACATGATATATTGATGAAACTTTTCATAGATGTTGGGCTCATGAAAGTACATTAGAAAAAAAAAACATTTCAAGCCTCTATACATATGTTACCATTTAGAAGATATCCACGAACCTAACTGTAAAACAAGGCTTTTACGGTTACAATTTTTTTTCTAATATACGTACTTCAAGCTGTAGAGTTCGGCTTCATTTTAGTTGAAAGAGAACTCATTACCGATTCGGGTAAGGGAAAGATTTTTTTAGTTTTCACTTTGTTTCATTTTTAAAATCACTGAAATCTAAAAAAATCTGAAAATCTTAGGCGGGATTTTCTGGAAAAGCCGGGTTTTTTCTAGCGTTGACGACCAATCAGCATATCCCATTCTATCATCTGAGAGATCATGCATGTATCTATTGATTAAAAAAAAATACACTTCTTTAGATTGAAGTATATTGAAAAAAAATTGTTCACAGTGCAAATCATTAGCGAAAAGATCAATTTTGAGAAAAACACAAAATAATTTTTTTGTATTTAGCCTTTCTATTATTAATTAAAACTGAGGTAAACCTGAATAAATTAGACGTCAATAGAAGCTCTTATCAATGTACATACATTAATTTACCATCATATAAGACATATCACGATAGATGACGCCAACTAGAATTTTCTTTATATTGATGTCAAGATGATAGAAAATTCGGGTTGGTATGAAGATGAAAGCAAAAATTAGATGTACGACTTAACAGGACCCGATTTTTCGATTCCTCCTAGTTTATGTTCCTAGGAAACTTCACGGATGAGATACGGAAAACCTAACGAGGGTGAGGGGCGGGGTAGATCCAGAATGGTTAGTTTTTTGTAAACATTAATGGGAAAATCGAAAAATCCAGCTTTGTTAAGTTGTAGAGCTAATTTTTGCCTTCATTTTGACATCAAACTGAGCTTTCTAACATTTAAAATGATGGAAAAATCTGGGATGTACGAAAACATAAAAACCAAAATTTTTCCAGAAAAAACATTATTTTCCCATGTGACGTCTCAGAAAAACTTATATAATATCCTTAAATCTCATCATAAAATCAATAAACTATAGTGCACTCGAGAGTAGGCACTTTGCTCTATCTAACGAACTATAAATCACAAATCGATTCATTTGATCAAAATTGGCTTTTTCTGAGGGAGAGGTAAGCTTAAGTTGTTATTTTCATTTAGAAAAAACAAAAATACTAAAGAGAAACAATGTTAGCCATCTACTAATTCAGTTAGTCATTAAAAACCGAGTAAGTTCGCTAATGTAACTCGTTCATAGATTTTGTTGTTTGGACACGTTTGATTAATAAAATAAAAATAGATGATATCATTTTTCTGAGTTGATAATTGGTTGGAAAAATAAGATAATATATGAATAATACGTACAAAAGTAAAATTTATTCGTTGTAAGTTATAAGAGAAATCTACTAAAGAAACATAAGAAAATAATATTGTTCGAACTTCGAAGAAATGAAAACTTCTCAGACCCAGGACAACGATTCCGGCTTCCGGATCCTTCAGGAACCGGCCGGAAACGATGTAATTTCCGGCCTTTTCCGGTGTCTTTCGGGCCGGAAATTTCTCGTACCCGGAAACTGAATGTTCCGCTAATTTTCCGCAACCGGAAATCAACGAGAAAAAACTCGAAACCTAGAGAAACCCACCGAAAACCGGCAAGAAACGCACCGTTTCCCACGGGAAAAACATGAAAACCGGTTCGAAACCTCTTTGACAGATCTTTCAAACACTTTGAATGATACTTTTTCCATGCACCTAAGGTTGATGACGCCTTGCGCACGTAGGTCGCAACAATGAAAACACATGACTTTCGCACAGATTGCGCACGACGATCTTTTCCTGGAAGCTGTTTTCAGACGACTATCTGAGTTTAAGAAAAATAAAATACGTCGGAAATCTTTTCTCGCATACCTTACACTAAAAGGTATGATTGAGTCTGAGGCCACCAGGCTCTTCACTACGAAGATTTGGTATGTACACTGACGTTGGTGAAAGTGAAGGAAAAAATTTGAATCCGTATCCTCCTTAGGAACCAGAATGCAATACCACGCTTTGGTACTTCGTGGATTTGGAGGAGTGTCTGCTGTGGGGCACGACAGCAACTCTGTCTTTACACATTACGCGTAGGGATTGTGAAGTTTTTGAAAGATCTCAGAAGTGATGGAAAGATCTTTGAAAGGATTTTGAGAGATTTTGCAAACTGTCCTAAAGATATTTGAAAGATCNAAAAAATCCCTGTACTCCCCCTCAGGGATGATCTGGTCAAAAATTACAATTTTTTTTATAACTCAGTCATTTCTCGACGGATCCTTCTCATCTTCGAACTCGACCGAGATATTGTAAAGACTGAACTGTGCAAAAAATTTCATCGCGATCTGACTCTCCTTTCGAAAGTTATCGTGTAAACGGCCGGACGGCCGGCCGGCCGGACATACTGACCGATTCTAGAGTGTACTCACTTTTTGAGTACACAAAAAGAAGATTTGTATTTTTAAATGAATTTATTGAATTATCTATAAAGTAAAAAAGAAATAAATCATTTATCTATCTGAATAAATAAATAAAACAAACAAGAATAAGATAATTTATCTGTTAAAATTATTTGATTAGGACAAGTAAATGTCGATTGTCATTAGCTCCAACCAGTGAAGAAAAATTCGAAGATGTGAATTTATCAAGACAATATGATTTTAAATCGAATAATGATGACCATCAAGTCGCAGAATCTCTTTCAAAATTAAAGGTAACATCAATCTATTTTTTCTTCTTTTCTTCAACATTGTCAAAACATCTTTAAATTAGGAAGATTTTTTCTATGGAACAATACATAAGAAAACCGCATGATCACTTATGGCGATAATATAGTGTCATTGCAGATTTTTAGTAGTTAATGTTTTTTTGAAAATTCGAAAAACTCTCTTTTTAAAACAATATTTAGAAAAAAGTTTTCGACTCTCATTCGTTCATAGAATTATTACTTGATTGTTTAACTTTCTGACAAGACTTTTCAATGGTTTTCGCACCAGAAGAATCAAGCCAATATTGATTTTCTTCTAGGAATCGATTGCCGTATTGAGAAATCGATTAACATTAGTTTTAGAAGTTTTGAGTAAATTATTAAATAGACTTAATTATATTCTTATTCTTTTAAAAGGTTAACAAGAGTGGCAGTAATGAAAGTTTACAAGAAAACGTAAGCAATGTCAGCTCACGAAAAAACAAACATATAGAAGATGATATAAATCTAACAAGTGGAGAAGAATTTAATTTATCGGAAGATCCAAATTCAAAAGTTATTTCTTTGGAAGAGAAACTTGCAGACAAACGAGAATTAGATATTCTTGGTATTATGAATTTATCTTCAATGAATATAACTGATGATGATATGATATTAATTATACCACGAGTTTTTTATGATAATAAATCAAAATGTATTGGTCTTATCTTGCGTGATAATGCTTTGACATCGACCGGTGTTAAAATGCTTGTTGATACATTGATTTCATCACGAACTAAATTAAAATATCTCAGCTTTTCGAATAATCCAAATATAGGAGATAAAGGAATCGAACATTTAATTAATTTATTACAAAAAAATCGATCGATTACTTTTTTGGCTTTATCAGATACGGGTATAACAGATCATGGTGTTCGATTATTAGCTGATGTACTGTGTTGTGTTGATACTGATTCATCTTGTCCACCTTTGGAAAAATTACATATATCATTCAATAAATCGATAACTGATCAATCATTTGAAGCTCTTATTCAAATAATTGAACAAAATCAAACATTGAAATTACTTTCTTTACAACATTGTAGTTTATCGGATAAAAAACGACGACGATTGAGAAAAGCAGTTATAAAAACGAAGAAAAAAAGATTTAGTCTTTCAGAGTAACAATATTTATATGAACTATATATCGCATTTATGCTTTTTGTTGCTTTATCTATTCTCGCATCTTTATTATCTAGATGTTTTTCTTTTTAATGTCACTTTATTATTGTGCTTTTCAATCTGATTACTTCTTCTTTTTCTTGTTCATGAATAAAACGAAATTCTCCCTGGTTGATAATCATACTCCATAGTGGATTTCTAGATGTGATTATTACTTAATTATATTGATAAAATTCATCATTCCCTCTATCTCTTTTCTTAACTTTTAAAAATTTGATTCTTTTCTTAGTTAATCTGTCATTATTATTAGCAAACTTGGGATATCGATGCTAATAATTAAAGTATCGGAAAATCTTTGTCTATTCATTGTCAGTCTGATCAGATCAGTGGCGGATCTAGGATATATGAGTATGTGATATTTCGTCTTCAGAGCATGGGACCCACGTGACACTTAGGGAGGGTGATATTGGATCCAAACGATGAGTTTCTATGAAAGAATTTTTGCGACCGAAGTTTCCGAAAACAAAATCGTTTTTTGAATCACCCTACCCTCCGATAATTTTTACTTTTAATAGTACTCCATTTTTGAGAATGCTATAGTAATCTACATCGAATTTCATTGGAAGAGTTCAAAATTTCAACTGAAAATACGCATCCATTGAAGAGTTATAACGTTTTAGATTTTTGCGAGAATATTGAGAGCCTGAAGGAAAAATCTACAACTTTGTAACTTCTCAATGGATGCGTATTTTTAGATGAAATTCGATGTAGATTACTGTAGCATTCTCAAAAATGGAGTACTGTTAAAAGTAAAAATTATTGGAGGGTGGGTTGATTCATAAAATGATTTTTTTTCACAAACTTTGGTCGCAAAAATTGTTTCATAGAAACTCATCGTTTGGATCCAATATTACGCTTCATAAGTTTCATGTGGATCCCATGTTCTGAATACAAGATATCACATACTCAAAAATCCTTTATCCGCCACTGGATCAGATATTAGTAACTGCACAGTATTTTCCATCGTTTGCCATTTCATTTATTAGTATATGAATTATTTCTATATGAAACACGAATATATCGATGGAAGTTTTTAACTATGAATTTCTAAGTGTGTTAGGTCAATCGTTAATGTTATGATGTTATTATAGAATATAAGGGGACTTACCTTGATGTTCAGAAATACGCGATCAGCTGAGGAGGGCGTGTGAGATCGTTTTCAGATGGATGGTTTATTTCACGAAGACCGAAACGCACACAAAAGAGGTAGTACTAAATGCTACTCCTCTTCACCAAAACAAAATAACAACTGAACTATATCAAAGTCTGAAAAAATTCTAAAGAGAGAGATAGACAGAACGAAAAAGAGAAATCTTACTATTGAACGAACGAAAGGGAAAAATCCAATTAACTACAGAACGAAAAGGAAGACACCGCCAAATGAGAGAATAAGAAGAAGGAACCAAGTGAACTTCGTTCGATTAAGTTAGCGTCGACATAATGTCATCTGTTGACGCTAACACCTTCCTCCTTCGGCAGAAACGAATCTTGGGAAAAAACTCCTGCCTCCACTACTGTGTAGGCTGGAAAGAAAAAGGAAAAGTGGAAATGTAACATACAAAAAAAAAAATTTTTAAAGGAGGGGCAGATGTACCAATACTGAATAGTTTAACTGATACAAGAAGTTCTAATAGACTATGTTGAATAATAAAATTAAGTAGAAAAGACTCGGAAAAAGTCTTCAAAAGAAAAAAAGCTTTTAGATAACGTTGAATCAGTTACCTTGAGGGATTGTAAGTTGTTGAATCGAATTCGTAGCTGATTATTATAAATTGGGGATAGTTTTGCAAATGGAATTTGATTTTGTTGAAGATAGGTTTTAATTATTTCTAATGTCCACGAAGGACTGACTGTTCTACATATGTAGAAAGTGGCTTGCTTTTCAGCAAGCCGTAAATGACGACGTCTATTTCGACGCTTTAAAGCGTCATTAGATCTACGACTTACCTTTTGATATGTTGATATTGATGTAGAATTTAACCTATCAAAGTAGTTGAAAATATTGTTGGGAACAAGATTAGAATAATAGTTATTAATGTGAAGTTGATCTATGCTAAGATGGTATGGTTGGATAGCAAAATCAACTACCGTGAAATTAAGATTGGCGGCTAAAAAATATAACTGTTCATTAAATACACTAATATTATGTTGAAGTAATTCAGGTGTAGGGAATGTCTAAGAGAACTTAAAACGTGAAAATGTTGTTACAATACCAATCGAGTCCTTATTGGCAAGATGCGGATGTTGTCGACGAAGATCGGATATTATATATTGAATTTGATTAAGGACTATTGAAGCTGTAAACTTACGTAAAGAATTACTGCCAATTAAAAACATGACGGCATTAGCAGATACTAAATGAGAAAAAATAGGAGATGTTTGAAAGAGATGGAAAGCGGAAAGATGATGTTGGCCGTCATCAATCCATTTCAAACCGAATATTGATTCAATAACAATTTGATGGGTGGGTGTTGTAGTTAGTCGGGGCACAAATCTAGCATGACTATCGGCTAATACAAAATATTTTTTTGGAGTTGATGTTGTAGATTGAAATGCCATATTGAATTTGAATAATATATATATATATATATAAATGATAGAGAATTAGAGAACTAAATGGGTTTGTTAATATACGAAGATAATGTGAATGAGAAAGTGGAAATAGAGGAAGAAACTGATGAATAAATGTTGATGAATTAGTCTGATGTCGAGATTGTTCCCACAACTGTAGCTATTCACTAAAAATGGAAGCAACAAGAAAATTGTAGACATCAATTGTTATGAATAAAAAGGAGTCGAATATCAGAAATATAGACTCTTGATTCTATTTTAGTTATTTCATCCCAAACCGTATATGTTGGGTGTTGAGCATGAATGATATAACTTTAGGTGTTATCGAGAAACGAGGATCTAGTTTACCTTTCATTCCCTGAATTCTAGTTAGTACTCTATCACTAACTTTATATTGTGGATCTAATCGATTTTTATCATAATACGTTTTGTTTTTTTATTGTTGTTGTAGAATATTATTACGAGCGGACAGATGAAAACGTTTCATTGTTTTCTTAAGTTGTTCAAGATAATCATTAGGTTTTGAGAAGAAAAAAAGCGATTGTTTCGCATGAATCGGAAGTCTAGGGGAACGTCCGAAGACTAATTCATATGGAGAAAATCTTGTGGTTTTATGACTACCGGAGTTGTACGCTAACACTACTGCCTGTAAATATTCGTCCCAGTTATTATGCTCATCGTCCTGTAATTTGAAGATTTGAGAAATGAAGGTACTATTGAAGCGTTCAACTATACCGTTGGACTGGGGATGGTAGGGCGTACTGTAGATGTGATTATAACCAATCAATAGCTGCATATTGGCCATTAACTGATTTTGAAAATGTGTGCCTCTATCACTCACAATGATTTCAGACACTCCGAACTTACAAAAACCTCATTAAATAAACTTTCAGCGGTTGTTTCTGCTATACAATTAGGTAGAGGTATCGTCGTTACATGTCGAGTAAAGTAGTCTGTGATTACTAATACGTATTTATTACCACGTGGTGTCCTTCTCAGTGGCCCACAATAGTCTATACCTATTATTTGAAATGGACCATCTGGTGGTGTGGATGTGGGTGTGGCTAAAGAATACATCTACACCCACACCCGCCAACACCCGCCCACACCCTGAACTGTCAAAAAGTTACCAATTGTCACGAACAGGTTACGAAGAGTGAGTTTACTTGAGAATTCAGTATTTTGAGAAAGAAACATTCATTTTGATTAAAATATTTATTTAGAAGCTAAAAGTCACCAGACCTATGTAGGGCATAATTTCAGATTGGGGTACCTCAGAATACATCGAAATTCGTCAGAAAGGGCTATACTTTATGACAAATAGATATGAATCCTTAGATTTTTCTTAAACTTATACAGCTCTACTCGTGACTATGCTATGAAGTCGAATGATGCTCGAAAGTTACGGAGGTCTCCTTGCTCGCATCATCTGTGAGACATTTGTCAACAAAGTTGCAGTTGGAATATAAGTTTGACAACTGTTGTTGCCATAACAATCGACCATCTGCCTTTGTTACAAGGTATCCATCATTAACTGTATTGATATATTTGACAAAATTACGATTTTAGAACGTTTCACTCTGACTGTGTTTATTTTGAGTACTTAGCGGTTACCCGACCATGAAACAAATCGAAAAGTGATCTTTTAGAAACAGACTTTTCAGTTCACAAAGATGATTATCCCAAAGGTGCTTGTACTCACTATTGAAACGTTGTTGTAGTTTTAGATAGAACAAGTTTGTGTTAGTATTCTTATGAAACTCTGTGCGTTGAACAGTAAAGCAAGCACCAGGAACTACAACTTCTTCCTCTTGGTCCTGGTACTGGGAGAATGATTGAAGATCCACTGTATAAGCGTAGTTTACTTCTATGATGTGTGAGACGTTGCCGCTAAACATCTCAACTACAGTACGATTGCGACTGCACGACGTGAACGCTTAAAATTAGCGGTATTCATCGGGACGTTCAGGACAGTCAATATAAGCAGCAATCTCGTCTTGCGACTGTTTGCCTCCTCGGTAGAGTAGTGGTTTTGTTGTATTCGGTTTGTTGTTGAAGGGACTGTCCCACAGAAGTAAAAAAAGGGTCCTAACGTGCGAATTTTACTTCGCCAGGTGTCCTCATGTGTCTTGTTTCCTATCAGTCTCATGATCTCATTGAGTTTGCTATACAAGAAACTTTGCATCGTGTAGAGACGGGCACAGGACTTCCATACTTCTTTCACTCCTTTTTCCTTCTGGTCCAATAGCTTCTTAGCCATGAATTCGGCTTCATATTGTTTTCCTACTTTCTTGCCTTCTTCAATAATACCAAGAGCAGCTTTCTCAAAAATTATTGGAACGATAGTTTCGTCTCGTGAAGGTAATTGTCGTTTTTCAAGTTTCAGATCCTTTCTCGCCTTTAATATGAAGGGTGAAACCCACCCATACTCGCTGCCGTAGGGACGTTTGGGTGCTATAGGAGGATCAGCATTAAAGCGTTCTTGTCGTAAATGCTGACCATCTTGTTTGCCTCCACTCATCGGACGAGCCTTTGCTTGGTGTTATCTTTGTTAGAGACTTGGATCGTGTGCTTGAACTCAATGTAGTAATCGTCTAGCATGGCTTGAGACTCTTTATCCTTGAATGCTTCTTCGATAATTAAATTTTCCACGTCCGAGTAATAACTCCATTTGACTGGCTGACACTGAAGAAATGGGTGAAAGTCTGATTTCCACATCCATTTAATACATGTAGAAGAGTCGGTTAATGCAGATGCGTGATTGTCCATCACTATTATTCTGTATGTTTTGACTCGGATGTAATAAATTGTAGAGTAATCCGTTAATCTTATCCTTGCTCTAGAAATGAAAACAATAGTGAAAAGATTTCTATCTTATATAATCCAAAAATTTCCCTTTCTATATTGTAACGATAAAGGGAAGAAGATGAGATGACAGACTAGAGGAGTAGCTTACCGCCACCCTCGGTAATGATGTTTATTAGCTACTTTACATCTCCAGAATGTGTCTATATCACATTCAACACAAGCTTATATATGATAGAGAAACAAAGAGAGAGAGACGACACAGAGAGAACAAGTGAGAGAGGAAGAGGAAAGAGAAAACAAGAAGAACAGCGAACTGTGACGTATATTTCGGCACATATATCAGATCTCAAAAAAACATCATTCTCGTGCGTAACAACGTCGAGAGTATGGATGGTACTTCCACTTTCTTTTTGGTGCCGGAAATGAAAGGAAAGTTAAAATATTTTAGTGTTCGACTATTGGCAAAATTGCTATTACCAATTGCAAACAATGCACACTCATTTATATGGCGTTAACTTTAATAGATGTATGTTTCTCTTCTTTTCTTGATCTGTTTTATTGAGAGAAAAAATTTGGGCATTCTTTAAGATATAATTCCAATTCATTTCACAACAATACCTGTTGATAAAGGAGAACAGATTGAAAAGACAATTTCCTTTTTCTTTATTGTATGTACACCACCGATTTCGAAAGTTCGGGTTCAATGCATGCGCCGCAATTGGAACCAGTCGGGAATATTCGAACTGAGCCGGTCCAAATTTCAGACCAGTAAAAATTGGCAATAAACCGACCGGTTAGTTCCAAACGTTTTTTCACAACGATAAAAATTGATTGTCTTGTCGAATAATTTTTAATCGGTTAAAAGAAATAGTTTTGAAAACTGCTCTGTTCCTCTTTTCTGCTTTTGTTTTTAGAAATCTCTGAGAGAAAATATCATGTTATACTCCATTATGTTTTTAAAGTTTCTCAAAGATGAATATCTGATGTTCTTTAGACGAGAAAAAGAGTTCAATTATGCGACAACTGATTGTTAAACTGCGAATCTTGGATTCTTCCACTCGAATTTTACTTAAAAACCTTATAGCACATAAGAAGGACTATTTACGCGGAGAAAACAACGGCAGGATCTAGTCGAATAGTAGAGAAACGAGCACCTTTGGTAGCCATGCAACCGTCCTTATTTTTATACTTGATGAGTATTGATGACAAAACAGTCTAAATCTTTTGTATAACAATTACTTTCATACGCAGTTTTTGCTGAATCGAATGATATAGAACAGTAGTTTCTTTGGTCAGTTTAGTTATGGGACACATCATGAGAATAATTGCAGATGCTATGCCTCATATACCATTTATCACGTGTATACTATATAAATGGCCAAGTCAGTAGAAAGTCAATAAAAAGTCAGGAGAAAAATGGTACTATGGCCTTAGTCATAACATAAATAGACTATAGAATCTTTTACCTGCTGAATAATACATAAATATTGAAGACTTTGTTAAAATTTTCAAATATAGCCGTTTTTGCTAGCAAATTCATCCCTGTCTTTTTCAAGGCAGTTTATGTAATGTATGAATGAGCAGGATACATCTTAATAGAAAAGAATGGGCAGGTTTGCAGTTGTGACGTACCAAACTTTGCATCTATATCGATATATTTTATATGTGGGTTTCCTTTTTCTGATAAGATTTTCAGAGTCAAACGTTTTGTCTATGTTCTACGTATACTTAATCAGAAAATTACAGAACTTTGTCTAAAACCATCCGGATATCCTATTTTTACACTATACTGTATTCGATAGTTTTTTCGTGAATTAGAGATTTTTTTCAGGTGAAAAAGCTAGTATCTGTGATGGCTTGAACTAGTCTGTCTATCTAGACATGCCTAAGCAAACAAGAATAAAAACTTGCTCGAGTTTTGGCTTACTCTCATATTGCAATCTACCCAGAAAAAATTCAATGATATAACTTACCTATTAGTGAAATAGTATTTATCTCGGTTGTCTTATGACGAAAAAAAGGTTATAAACCGAGAATAATGTATGTAACTAAGTTATGTGTTCTTTACTTCTTCTAATCTATGCTTTCTTTTTTCTTTCTTCATGTTTTTGTACTATGTTTTTTTGGTAATTCTATACCGATGTAGAATGCGGGACAAACACAAATTTTTCGTCCTGGTA